GGAGCCCTGTTTGGGGGAAATCCTCCCAGCAAGTTTCTAATGAAAAGGGAGAACCAAGCCTGGTGGGGATGTACATGGTGTAGCCCCTGTAGAAAGCAGTGGCGATTCCCCAGAAACACAGTTCATGGGGACCTGTGGCCCAGCGGAACTGGGCATGGAACTGAGAGCGGGCTGTGAGAGACACGTGCACCCATGTGCAGCAGCACCGAGGCGTGGACACCACCCCACATCCACGATGAGGAATGGGTCCCAGCGTCCCAGGGCTCAGGGTCCATTTACCCCTGACCCTTGCCCTCTAGTGCCCAAGCCCAGAACGCACACCCCACGGAGCAGCAGCCCCATGTCAGCGATGAGTTGTGTGTGGGGGTTAGTGTATTTGCTTGGATTCCTCGAGGGCCGAGGCTTGGGGAGTAAACCTGGGCCCTCGCTGTCTGTGATGCGAACCTTAGGCCTTCCTGTGGGCCAGCGCTGATGGGAGACAATGCCCTTGTCCTGTTTTTGTGCAGCTGAGCTGTGTCATGCCTTTGCACCCAGGAAAGGAGAGTGCAGGTAGCCTGGTGTCCACAGTCATGGGAGAGGAGGCCTCGCAGTTCAGTGATGAGGGCACGTCGAGGCTGGTGCCATTGCACTTCTAGCCAGAGCCATCCCCACGCCACGGACAGTGAATGCTAGAGACCACCAAACAAACTGAGGAACAGAAACAGATGGAAAGAGGTTGAGAGGTCAGAGGCTGAGTCCTGAGGTCCCACCATGTTCAGTGCCAGGAGGTATGTGCAGGACCCAGCGCAGGCCTGTGGTGGCAGTTGGTTGAGGTCCCCTTAGGTCTGTGGCTATGGGCAATGAGATGCACCTGCCCCGTGTTTGTTGGCAGCTCTGAGCGGGTCTCGTCACTCCTTAGTCTGGCTCAGGACACTGGACATTTTCACCCAAGACCAGCACCCTCACGGCCCTGAGCTGTCCCCAACCCTGCCCCACCTATGGATCTCCGTCCTTCAGCTCTGTCTGACCTCGATGGCACGTGAACAGCCAAGACAAGGGTGCCACCTGTCACAGTCACGTGTCATGCCCCCGGTGTTAGGGTTTTGTGTTTTATTTCAGCCATTGTAGGAGGTATGGTGGCCTCTCGTGGTGTCGGGCATAGGTTCATGGGCTTGTTGATTGTTTGTGTGTCTTTTTGAAAAATATATTTTTATCGATTTTGTTTTTTAGGGAAAGAGAGAGACATCGATGTGAGAGAACCATCGATCGGCTGCCTCCTGCACGCCCCCTACTGGAGATCCAGCCTGCAATCCAGGCATGTGCCCTGACCAGGAATCGAACCCAGGACCTCTCAGTCCGTGGGATGACACTCCATCCACTGAGCCACACCGGGCCCATGTGTCTTTTTAGGTGAAGTGTCTTTTCAAACCTTTTGTCCGTTTTCTTTTTCTTTTAAAAAACTTTTTCAGTTACAGTTTATATTCAGTATTATTTTGTATTAGTTTCAAGTGTACAGCATCGTGATTAGACAGTCATGACTTTACAGAGTTTCCCCTGATACTTCCAGTGCCGCCTGGCACCACACCTAGTTATTAGTGTTTCCACCCATTCCTCTCCTGTGCCTTACGTCCTGGGACTGTTCTGTGACTGCCAACCTGCACTTCTCGGTCCCTTCACCTTTTCACTCAGTCCTCCAACCCCTCCCCTCTGGCAGCCACCAGTCTAGTCTCATTGGGTTGTTGATTTTCATATTGTTGATTTTTGACAGTTCTTTATATATTCTGGATAAAGCCCTTTGTCAAACATGTGATTTGTGAATAGTTTCTCCCACTCTCAGCTTATCTTTCATTCTCTTAGCAGTGTTTTTCACAGAGCAAAGTTTTACATTTTGATGAAGTACAATTTATCAAACTTTCTTTTGCTCTGAGTCTGTCTACTGCACCTTTGTCAGCATTCCTGTTGTGGTCATGGGGTTCATGGCAGGCTCCATGGCTCCATAGCAGGGGTAAGAGGTCCCAACTGGCCTCATCCTCCTTTAAAAAATTTTTTTTCCTTATTGATTTTAGAGGGAGAGAAAGGGAGAGGGAGAGTTAGAAACATCGATGAGAGAGAACATCGATTGGCCGCCTCCTGCACACCCCCGACTGGGGATCGGACCCACAGCCTGGGCATGTGCCCTGACCAGGAATCGAACCAGCCACCTCTCAGTGCATGGGTCGATGCTCAGCCACTGAGCCACACCAGCTGGGCTCATCCTCCTTTTGTCAGTATTTTGATTATTCTGGTTCTTTTGCCTTTTCTTAGAAATTTTAAAGTCAGCTCATTGAGATCTACAAGGAAGGCTGGCTGTGGTTCACTGGAATCTTGTTAAATCCACAGGCCTGGGTCGGGAGAGGGGCGCCCTCTGCTTGCTCAGGCAGGCGTGGGCCCTTGCTTTGGCACTCGGGTTTTCAGCTCAGACCCTGTATTTCTGTTTTGGAGCCATTGTAAACGGAGATTTTAAAAACTGGCTTCCAGTTGTTCATTGCTAGTTTGTAGAAATACGATTGCTTTTCATGTGTTGACTTTGTATCATGATCTGCTGAGCTCAGCAGTTCCAGGATTTTTCTACATAGATGCTGGGGTTGTCTGCCAACAAGAAAAGCTCCACTCCTTCCCTCCAGCCCTCTGCCTTTTCCTGCCTGTTGTCCTGGGCGGGCCTGCAGGGGGCAGCATGGCATTAGAAGGGGCCTCTGGACCTGCTCCTTGTCAGGTTCATGAGTTCCCCTTCCATTCCTAGTTCACTGGGATTTTTTAATCACAAATGGATATTGAATTTTGTCAGAAGTTTTTCTGGCTAAGTTGAGGAAGTTTTATGGTTTTCCTGATTTGGCCTGTCGATGTGATGATTGATTTCCCGGGGTCGAGCCAGCCTTGCACTCCAGGACAAGCCCACACGGTCACGCTGTGTCTCGTCCCTCTGTGTGTGTCCGGACTCTCTTTGCTCGTGTTTGGTGCAGTTTTCCACCCTGTGCTCATCACGGGGCAGTGTGTGCAGTGTCCTTTCGTGCTGATCTGGTGCTGGTTGTGTGGTGACCGCTCACCTCTTCCAGCCTGTGCTTGTCATGGGGCAGTGTATGCAGTGTCCTTTCGTGCTGTTCTCCTGGTGCTGGTTGTGTGGTGACCGCTGACCTCTTCCAGTGAGTTGAAAAGTCTTTCTTTGTCCTGTTTTCTGGAAGATCTTATGTAGATTGGTGCTATTTTTTCCTTTGGTTCCTGGTTAAATTTGCCTGGAGTTTTCTCCTTCGACTGTTAACTCCATTTCTTTCATGGATCAGGCTGTTCAAATAGTCTCTGCATCCTGGTGGGTTTGGCATTGTGCGCGTCAGGGAATCAGTGCCTGTAGTTGAGGTTCTCAGAACAACGTGCATTGAGGTGTCACGTGTGTCTGGGCCCCGAGCCAACAGCCCCTCTCACCCCAGCACCGGTCAGATTTTTCTTGTGTTGTTAATCCTCAGCAGAGGATGGATTCTTTCACCGATTTTTAGAGAGAGTGGAGAGGAGGGAGGGAGGGGAGAGAGAGAAACATCGATGTGAGAGAGAGCCATCGACTGGTTGCACCCTCCCCGCGCGTGCCCGTTGAGCCTACAGCCCAGGTACATGCCCTTGACTGGGAAGTGGACCCTGACCCTTTGGTCTGTGGGCGACGCTCTAACCACCGAGCAACACCAGCCAGGGCCAGTTTTTTCTTTTTCTTTGTTTGGCTGGAGGTTTTATCAACTTTATCGATCTTCCTGAGAACCAACCACCTTTTGGTTTGGTTTTCTTTGTCGGTTTCCGTCTTCGCTGGGAGTCCGACTTGCTCTTCTCATGTCTGGCTGAGATCTTTCTTCTTGCCAGTGTGAGGTTCAGCACTGCGGTACCCCTCTCAGCTCTGCCTGGCGCCCCGCAGCGTGTTCCCACTCCTGTCCTGGCTTCCTCTTTGGTGGGTCTCTGATGGGTATGCTGGCGAGGTTCCCAGCTACCTGCCGCGTGTTAATCTGAGGTTAACTCCAGTTTGGTCAGAGAACGTACTTCACATGATTTCAGTTCTTTAAAGGAGCTCATGTTGTTTAGCCCAGACTACGGCTGGTGAACACTAACTCCTTTAACCTGTCTCCTCTCCTTTTCCTTCCTGGCCCACTATCTCCCCAAGTTTCATTCATGGCCAGAGACCAGAGCGTGGTGTCACTTTGATGCCAGTAGATGGCTATGCCCCGTGGCCTGGCCTTGTTGGGCATCTGTCCTGCTGCTTGGGGTTCAGATTCATACTTTGGGGACCAAGAGACAACTCAGGTGGGCACGGAGAATCTGGTTTCCTGGTTGGGGCGCGGGCACTGGGACTTGGTCATGCTGACGTCTGCATGGGAGAGTGAGCCCAGGCCCTGGCAGGTAGACTCGGGGCGGCGCACACACTCGCTTTTTCGTCCTTCTGGGGCTGTGTGGGGACCCGCCCATGTGCTGCCGCCTCCAGGGAGGTCAGTCGCCAGGGACGGGCTCACTGGTTCAGTGCAGACCCTGCGGCAACAGGGGAAGGTGCGGGGTGTCCTCCAGCCCGTCCCGCAGGGCCGACACCCGTCTTTCCGGCTGTGTGTGGCTCAGAACAGAAGTTGGTGGGCAAAGGGTCAAGGAAGGCTCCCAGCCAGTGGGGTAGGGGATGCTGTGGGGGGGACGCTGGCATCCTAGGGGACATCACTGGTCTGTCAGCCCTTCTCCTGCCTGCCTGTGCACAGACTCTCAACCAACCACCTTCGGGACCCCTGGAGAGGTGCACCTGGCTGACTGAGGGGTGCTCACCACATGCAGGGACCCCGAGGGTGGCTCCCAGCCTGTCTGGGCCTGGGCAACAGCTCCTGGGAGACTTGATGGCCAGTCTGTCATGGTGACCATGGTGCTGGAGGCCAAGGGCAGAGAGTGGGTGGTCCAGCTGCAGCTGGGACCTTCCTGGGCTTGAGGAGGTGTGAGATGGCATGGTCACTGCTGAAGGGCATCTGTCCTTGCAGGCTGTGCAGCCTGACCTTGAAGAAGCTGGTGGTGTTCAAGGAGCTGGAGAAGGAGCTCATCTCTGTGGTGATTGCTGTGAAGATGCAGGTGAGGGTCTCCCTCTGCCGCCCCGGGCTCTGCAGGACCCCTGCTACCCAGGATTGAGCGGCTACCCAGGCAGCTAGGGCCCCGTGTTTCCGGGAGCAGGGGAGCCTCTGCCAGGCGGTGGCCTGGAAGATAGTCCTGATGCTCTGGCAGGGTGGGGACCCTCCTGGGGCGCAGTCTTGTCCCCCGATACAGGCAGACAGCCAGCGTTCCACAAAATGGGGTTAGGGAGGGCAGACAGGGTCCCCAGAGCAGGAGTGCAGGTAGGTTCTCCCTGCACCCACACCCTGTGCCTGTCACCGGCCAGCCCTGACCCAGGCCCGGCTGACCTCTCACTCTGGTGCTGTGATACTGCCCAGCCCACAGCTTCCTATTTGGTTTGAACAAGTAGGTGTTTCAGGAGGGCCCATTAGCCGTGCGGCCTGACTTGGCTTTTTCAGGGGCCCCTGGGTTCCAGGTCCACTCCCCAGATGGGCGGTGGTTCTGAGCTGCACAGCAGGTACTTCCTGTGGCCCCTCCGCCAGGGGGAGTGGGGTGCCCTGCTGTGGCCTCACCGCCGAGCGCCGGCAGGTACCTGCCATGTGGCCACATGGCCTGGAGCCTGCGCCCAGAACCCTTGCCACTCCTGCCCACTGGCACGGCACCCCTTCTCTGCCCTCATCTCCGCTGAAGGCTTTGCAGTCCCCCTCCTCATCCCCCTGGCTCTCCATGCCCTCTGCGGCCCCTGCAGCTGCCCAGTAGCCCTGTTCTAGTCCTGTCCCCCCACTGGCTCTGAACTGATCCCTCCTGCAGCCGCCGGTGTGGGGTCCCAGTGAGGTCCTGCCTGACTGCCAAGGCCTTGTGACCTGGAGGCCATGTCGGGACACTGTTGTCCGCGGTGGTGTGATGGACACCTGAGCCGTGTGTGGACTATTCTGGTGGAAGGTGGAGGTTGGGACCTGTGTTTCATATGAATGATTTGTGCTCCACTGTCACCGTCTTAGTGGTGAGCTTCCGGCGGACCTGAGGCTCACTAACCAAGTGTTTGTACATATGTCCGTGTTTTCCTTGGGAGCTTGTACTCTGCTCCCCCAGCCTGTAGTTCCTCATCCTGAGTTAGAAGCAAAGGGACCGGACCTTGTCTAGCTGGCGTCACTTGGACACGCCCCTTTGAATGAGACACTGTCTTCTTCAGGGCTCCAAGCGCATCCTGCGGTCCCATGAGATTGTGCTGCCCCCCAGTGGACAAGTGGAGACCGACCTGGCGCTGACCTTCTCCCTGCAGGTGGGCCCCCTCACTGGTACCGCTCTGCCCCCCCACCCCAGTCCTTGTCACCACAGGCCGGTTACTGTGAAAAATCTGGGAAGTGTGCAGCCCATTTTCATGATAAAGAGGACGTGGTGAGGTTGAAACCTCGAATCACCAGTTAAGGTCATTTTTTTCTTGTTTGGAAAAGATGGAGAGGAACACATGGAGACTTGGTAGTGTAAGTTCTGACCCCTTTGAAATTTGGGGGTGTGCTCGCCCTAAGCGTGGCTCAGTCTCCACCTGGACACCCCAGGATGAAACAGAGACATCCCTAGATTCTGTCCGGACCCGGGCCAGCCCCAAACTGACCCGAGAGTAGCATCCTGCCTGCGCTGCTCGGCCTGGCTTCGAAGACACTCAGGCTCAGCAGACGCAGCTCCTGGCTTCACACACGCTGTGAGCGCTGAGACCTGTTGGTGTGGGTCCGCTTCACAGCCGTTCAGCTCCTCGTTGTAAGTGCAGCCGCTGTGGCCTCATGGAATCCCAGGAACCTTGCCAGCGCCCGCCCCGCGCATCCCCCAGAGCCACTCCAGCCTGCACCCCAGCTTTGCCTGGACGGGCCCGCTGACCCCAGCTCCCATGCCCACCACCGCGTCTGGGTTCTGTGCTGAACTCAGGAGGGTGGGATCAGGTTTATTGGAGAATAATTTACAAAATGTACAGTTTATTCTTTTTTAAAATTTTTTATCTTCACCTAAGGACATTTTTGCATTCATCTTCAGACAGAGCAGGAGGGAGAGGGGGAGAGAGAGAGAAACATCAGCGTGAAGGGGACACATCTAGTGGTTGCTACCTGCACGACCCAACCAGGGCTGCAGACAAACTGCAACCGAGGTACATGCCCTTAGCAGGAATTGAACCCGGGTCTCTCTGGACCGCAGGCCAACGCTCTAACCGCTGAGCCAAACCGGCCAGGGCAGGACATGCTTTTTCAAACGGACAGAGAGAGAGAGCAAGAGACATTGATGTGAGTGAAACATGGATCGGTCGCCTCCCATACATGCCCTGACTGAAGATCGAACCCGCAACCTAGGTATGTGCCCTTACTGGGAATTGAACCTGCGACCCTTCATTGAACATGACAACACTAACTACTGAGCCACCTGGCCGGGGCCCTTCCCCCAACTTTGAGATTGGTTTATATTTGTGAACGTTTTCTTCCTACACACGAGCTCTGGGTCATGAACTTCCTGCCTCTGCACCACGTGGGTGACCTGGACCATCCCAGCTGCCCTCATTGTGGGGAGAACGTGCCCCTAACACTCAGCAGGCCGCACATCTGTCCGCCAGTAGTGGCTTTTACTGTTGATCGGGGCCATAGCCACGATGGGCCGGCAGTGACCGAGGGGGACCGTGGGTGCACATGCGCCCTCTTGGGTCAGGCTTGCAGGGACAGCAGCGTGCCCCTCCCCCACAGTACCCCCACTTCCTGAAGAGAGAAGGCAACAAGCTGCAGATCATGTTGCAGCGGAGGAAGCGCTATAAGAACCGAACCATCCTGGGCTACAAGACGCTGGCTGCAGGAGCCATCCACATGGCCGAGGTGAGGCGCCAGGCAGGGCCCGCGCTCCCTCGCCTGGTCCCCCAGGGTGGCTGCCCCTCAGCTCAGGGTAGCATCTGCTCTAGAGTTGGTGTGGCCTGTGCCCTTCCAGGAAGGGTCCCTGCATGTGGCCCGCCCTCTGGTCCCTCCTGGGAGGTCTGTGTCCCACTCCGCTGGCTTTGGCCCAGCAGGCTGCACGTGTGCTCAGGGTGGGTCAGGTGATGTGAAGTTCGAGGGGTTCCCTGGTGAGGAAGTGGGGGAAGTACGTGCCAATGGAACCAGCTACCTGACATTACCTGTCGTGGAGGACCTGGGGTCCCGGCGGTCGGTGTGGGGTGGGTGGGGTGCTGGAGGAGGCACTCCCGGACGGAGGGGCTCCCACTCACATGGGCCCTAGGGGAGGGGCAGTGAGGGCCCCATGTGTCCCTTGTGCTTTGAAGCCTTCACCATCATGGGCCTTGCTCAGGGTGGTGGGAATGCTCAGGGACGTGGAGCTATGCGGATGTCGTGTAGCACAGGGCAGGGACACGCGGTGGCTGGTCTCCGTGCTCCTCATGTACCTGCAGGCACATCCTGTGGTTGGTGGTAGTGTCTGGGAGCTTCTGTCTTCAGTTTGCTTCTGTGTGATCACTGGGCAGTTGGGCTGCAGACTCTCCCTTCTGACAACTTTCTGTCCCTGGTGCTGAGCCTGGTGCTGAGCCTGGTGCTGACCCAGCTTGGCCCAGCATGCTCCCTCCTGGCCCGTCCACCCAGCTCCCATGTCCTCGCTCGTTTTCTTGCCCACGGCCATATCTCCCCACCCACCACACCCCTGCTCCATGGTCCTTCCTGGAATGGTGCCCACACCCAGGTAATGCAGCGACCCCCCGAGGGTGGCCAGGTGCTGAGCCTCTGCAGCAGCGTCAAGGAGGCCTCCGCCAAGGTGGCCGAGATCTGGATCTTCTCCCTGTCCAGCCAGCCCATCGACCACGAGGACAGCGCCATGCAGGCCGGCCCCAAGGCCAAGCCCACGGGTGAGTGCACCTGCAGTCTGCCGCCTCCTGCTGCCTTCCTGAAGTTTGCAGCTGCTCTGGTCTGGCCCAGGGGTGTCCCAGTCTTTATGTCATCAGTAAGCAGAGGTCATGGGGTCCATCTGGTGCCTTTCGGGGTCTGGGCACAGGCATGGTCTGTCACCACCATCACACCTGGGGTGTCTGTTCCCCATGGATGAGGGAGTTAGGGGCCCCGCTGAGCAGGAGATCCAGGCTGGAACCTGTGCTGGACAGCCAGGCTGTGGGGCTTCCCGGGGGTGCAGAAGCGCAGCCCCCCCCACCCCTGCGCCCTGTGCAGCCAGGACCTGTCACTGGTTGTGGCCTGGTCGCCAGGACACCGGGTGGAACCTCAAGGTGCTGACCCTTCTGTGTGCTCGTTCCACAGACAACTACTCGGAGGAGGAGTACGAGAGCTTCTCCTCTGAGCAGGAGGCCAGTGACGACGCCGCGCACGGGCAGGTAGCTGGCCGCGTGGTGGGACCCCAGCGGCAGGCTCGGCTTCGTCAGGACGCCCAGAGCATGGACCCGGGATCCTCTAGAGCTGCCATCACATGGTGGCAGGGGGTGGGGGGCTCGGAGCCCAGCCCCGAGTGTGTTGGCGGGCTCTTGGGGACACCTCAGAGGCGGCTCCCTCTGTTGTCCCAGGGAGGGCAGGGTCGCTGTGGCATCCAGTGGCCACCCTGGCCTCAGGTGCCCTGTGTCCCTGCAGGACCTGGACGAGGATGACTTCGATGTAGGGAAGCCCAAGAAGCAGCGGCGATCGATAGTAAGAACGACGTCCATGACCAGGGTCGGTGGAATCTGGTTTTACTAACATTGGGGAAGGGGGGCGGGGCAAGGGGAGGGGGTTGGGGCCCAGTCTAGGTGTGCAGGGGGATGGGGAACAGGGTGGCTGTCCCAGCTTGCGGTGGGCACGTACTGGCGTCTCCTGAGGTGCGGTCTTCCCCTCGAGATGGTGTGAACCTGGGGAAGCACCATGCCATGGCCTTGGCCTGGGAGGGGTCTGTGTGGTGCTCAGCCATCATGTAGAGTTACTCTGGCAAGTGCGAGTCAGGTGGGGCGTCCCCATGCTGACCCTAGGCTGCCCATAGGGTAGCTGTCCCTGCCCCACTTTGCCCAGACGTGACCTGTGTGAGACCAGTCCTGTTTCTGTTCGGCATCCGGCCCACCTGGCTCAGGGCCCAGGGGAATTGGGTGGGGCTGTGAGGCTTCTCCAGGAGGAAGCCCCAGGCAGGGGCCTCAGCCTGTCACAGGAGGTCCCCCATTGGGCTCCCCAGCTCCTGGGGGAGTTTACAGCCCATAGCTGCTCCTAGCGAGCCAGCCTCAGCTCCCCTCTGCCCAGGGTATGCAGTGGGTGGCCAGGGAAGCCCTGGAGTAATGGCCATGGGCACGTCCCAGCCTCCTCTGCCGGCAGCACTGGGTGGCCAGGGCTGGTCCCAGTGTGTTGGGCACAGCTGTCCCCACAGCTGTGCATGGGGAGCAGGGGGAGTGTGGGCCTTCTTTTGTAGGGTTGCCCCCCCCCCCCAACGAGGGTGGCTGAGAGCAGCCAGAGCTGAGCACTCACTGTTCCTGCCCACCTGAGTTCAGGGGAGGCAGGGGGATGGGGGGGTAGGGGGGGAGAGCGGTGACCCGGCATCACGTTTGCTCCAGGCTCCTGGAGGACCCGAGGAGGTTTCCCTTCCGGGCCGGGCCGTTTGAGTCTGCCCCCAGCTATGGTGTGCGTGCTTGGGAAACTACCCCTTGGTACACTTCAGGAGTATGCTTGAGTTCGTGGGTGTCGCAGCGGGTTTCAGCTGCGCTGGCGGAGGCTGGCGCCCGTGTCTGGGGGCGGCCGCACCGGTCTGACTCTCCGGTCATCTCTCTCACAGCAACAGAATTTCAAGCAGAAGGTCGTGGCGCTGCTGCGGAGGTTCCGCGTGTCCGAGGAGGTAAGCGCCAGGGCCCTGCCCCACCCCACCCAGGGCACCCACCTCCCTGACCCCGCACCTGTCCCCAGTGCCTGACCAGTGCCACCGCAGCACTTATCTGCAGGGACAGCTGACTCAGCAGAGGCTCCAGAACACCACCTGCTTTGTTTCTTGAATTTTAACGCGATGACCAGACCCAGGGGAAGGCCACATGCCCTCTTTGGGGAGGGGTGCGGCCACAGGTTTTTGTGTTTTGTGGTTTTGGAGCATTTTTAGGTTTGGCACAAAATCAAGCAGAAAGACAGATGCCATGTGCCCCTCCCCTCATTGCCCCCTAGAAACATACTAGGTATTTTTTAACATTTTGTTCTAGCTTTCTTCTAGTCTCTGGATTTTCTATGATGAGCTTGTATAACTTTTATAACCAGAAGACAAACACCTTGTTTATTTTTAATGTGGTCAGAGGAAAATTAGTCCCAGGTTCAGGACCCACCCCAGAAAGGCGGGACTTAAGGACCTGAGCCCCAAGTGTCCCAGTGTGGCAGTCACACACAATCACGGCACAGTCCCGGTGCTCAGCACGGCCTCCCCACAGGCGCGCAGACTCGGCGCCATTCCTGTCGCACCCTTGCTGCCCTTTTGCAGGAATTGGCCAGCTGGTTAGACATGCGGAGATGCAAGGGGCCCAGGATGGACACAGCTCTAGCCTCACAGGTGCCTGAGCTGCGGCCGCGCAGTCGCAGCCGTGTGCCCGTCAGTCCAGAAACAGGTCCTGTCGGGCAGCTGAGTCCACAGCCTGCCAAGGCCATTCAGCGGGGGAAACGGCTTTCACAGGCCACAGGGACGGAACGCCTGGACGTCTGCGCGCAAGAGTGGCGTCGGACTCCACCCACACCCGCACGGAAGACGACAAAGTGGACCAAAGACCTGACCATGAGAGCTGAAACTAGGGCTCCCGTGGAAAGCATGGGCCAGCAGTGGCTTCTCTGATGCAACACCAAAGAAACCCAGCTGAGCAGGACCCGGCCGAGTTCGAAACCGCTCCAGTACGTCGAGGACGTGAGGCAGCTGGCCCAACATGTGGAGCTTTCGGGCCCAGTCCCCGGTCAGGGCACACAGAGGGTGCATGGATGGTGGAGCAGCACATCGATGTCTCTCTGTCTCAAATCAGTCAAGGCAAGGAAAGGGAAACCACGCTCATAAAATAGGAATCGTTTTTGCGAGAAGAGAACACGGACAACTCCAAAAGACAACCTATTAAAAAATTCATTGCCTAACAGTTCAGCGAAGGACCTGACTAGACATTTGCTCCAGAGAAGACATGTGAAGAGCCACTGAGCCCGTGGAAAGATGCTTGGCACCCCTGGCCGACGGGGAAGTGCAGCCGAACCACAGACATGCCAGGCGGCCACAGCCTGACGAGGCCGGGACCGCGGAAACAGGTGGTGTGATGGCCTGGCGGCGCCTCGGGGAGCAGACACAGTGCTCGCTGCGAGATGGAGACATGCACGTGGAGACTGGCATGTGGTCCTGGGGGCTTCGTTTGTAATTGCAGACGCTGGAATTTCCCTGCGTCCACCCCATGATGGCTCGACCTGTCCTGCATGCCACGGCACTCAGCCCAGCAGCGAAAGGGAGTCCGCTGAAGGACACGCGCCAGGCTGTGTGCTGCGTGGCTCCTCTTGACTGACCTGGAACAGGCCGAACGCACCGGGCAGTGGAGGGCAGGGGACAGGAGAGGGCAGCAGCCTCCCTGGGGAGCTTGCATCACAATTTTGGTGGTGGCCACAATGGCATACACCTGTGCCAGCCTAGCACCCTGGATGGGGCATCCACGTGTTGAAGCGTGCCTCCATCTGCGGGGTCCCCGGGGCGCTGCCCCGACATCTGGGGTGTCTGGGCTGGTGAAGCTGCTAGAGGCAGGCTGCGCGTGTCTATGCCCTCTTCCTTCTGCCCTGCAGGTGTCTCCTCCCGAGCCTTGGGCCGGCTCTCATGGGTCCGTTCTCGCCGTAGGTCCTAGACTCGGAGCAGGACCCTGCAGAGCATGTCCCCGAGGTGGAAGAGGACCTGGACCTCCTGTATGACACACTGGACATGGAGCACCCCAGTGACAGTGGCCCGGACATGGAGGACGACGACAGTGTTCTGAGCACTCCTAAGCCCAAGCTCAGGTGTGCAGAGGCCACGGGGACGTGGGTTTGGGGATGTGGGCGCTCGAGTGTGGGCGCAGGGTGGGGAGGGAAGGGCACGTGGATCCGAGCGGGCTTCCTGGGAGAAGGAGCGAACAGCAGGACCCAGGTTGCACTCGGAAAGCTCCTGGGGTCCGTGGCTCTTGCCTGCAAGAGGCCTTGGTGGGCTGGAGAGGCTGGCTGTGCGGATGTGGGTGGGTGGGATGTGGGCTGGGGGGCCGGTGCTCCCACGGTGCTCACTGGCCCAGGCAAGGTGCCCATCGCAGGAGGGGATCAGGAGGAGAGGGGCACAGTTCTGGGTGAGGTGTGGCCATCTCAGGGCCCCTGACCCTGCCTGCCACACACAGTTTCACGTGCCTGTGTGGCTTTGTCACCTGCACTGGAAATCCTACCCATCGTTTTAGTTTGGACTGTCTTCTCCGTCCTTTAGAATCTCTAAGCCCCTTCCACTCTGCACGTCTTTGCCTGCCGGGCCCGGACTTGGGGCCCGGACGCTGGGTTTGCCGTTCTTGCTGCCAGCGCCCTGTGCTGTCCCTGTGTCCTGTGTTCCTGCAAGCTGACAGGATGGTGGGGTGGATCTGTCACCCTCTGCCGCTGGCTCAGGGACACAGGGTGACCTCAAAGCGGTGGAGGAGCTAAGGGGCTGCAGGCCACCTGCAATCCGTGTCATCCCTTGTGCCATGGTTCTTGAGGACAGGGGCCTCCAGTGACACTGCTGTGCCATGGGACCCCTGCCCAGAGCAGCAGCTTTGCCTCTGGGGGGTGGTCCAGGACAGTGTCCTCTGCCCACGCCCAGGCCCTACTTCGAAGGCCTGTCACACTCCAGCTCGCAGACGGAGATTGGGAGCATCCACAGCGCCCGCAGCCAGAAGGAGCCTCCGAGTCCGGCAAGTGCCGGGCCCCGGCAGCCCCGCCCCCACCGGGCTGTCAGGCGAGGGGAGGACTGCCCTGACCTCTGTCAGTCCCTCGGGGCCACTTACTATCGATGCTGAAAAACCCAAAGCTCACGTGCTCCAGCTCTGCAATGTGGCCCGATCCCCAGCCAGTGCTCGGTGACTGTCGCGGGGCAGCTTGAGCCCACACCCATGGAACCTTGGCCAGTCTCCCCAGGGCCCCCCGAGCCCAGCGCCCGCCTGGAGTGCAGCCAGGCACCCAGCCTGATTCCTGCCCTGTTCACACAGGCCGACGTGCCCGAGAAGACGCGGGTCCAGGGTGGCAAGCAGCCAAGCGACAGTGTCTCTGACTCGGCGTCCCACGTAAGCAGGCGCACGCCTCCCACGTGCTACCTGTGGGTCTGAGCCAGAGGCGGGGCTCAGTGCCTATGCAGCCCGTGCACCCTGCTTTGCTGTCGGCACAGGCCCAGCAACTCGGATTGGTTCTGCCGCCCTCGCTCTCCAGGAGGGGATCCTGGCACAGGGCCAGTGTGGGGAGGTTTGGTGCTGGCCTCCCTGTGGCGCCACGACCAGGCCTGGTGGTGGGAGGCAGGTCAGCTCGGCTCCCAGGGCCGCGTGCGGCCATGTCCATATAGGGAGCCGCCAGCTGGAAGGAGGCCTGGATACTTCCCACGAGCCAGAGCCCCTCCCGTCCATGTGCGTTCGAACAGCGTCCTTCCCTCCTAGCGGTGCATGCTCACCCCCGGGGAGCAGCCAGCACAGCCTGAGGACAGCCCGGAGGCGGAGACTTCCACCCTGGGCTTGTTCACTGAGAAGCTGCCTCCCAGCGGGCGCATCACCAAGACCGAATCTCTCGTCATCCCCTCCACCAGGTGACAGGCCACCCTGGGAGGCTGTCAGTTGGGCAATGCCATGTGGGACGGTCCCTTCTTGGGGTGTGGACACCCGCTGCAGCCAGGCCTGCCTGCTGCTTTGGGGGCCCACCTGGAGGTCCACAGTGGCCCCACCACTCCCTTGTCAGGAGCTGCCGGCAGGCAGGGCTGCAGTGTGCTGCCTGCTCCAAGGGTGGGGAAGGTCCCCGTGGCCCCATCACCTGTCCCCCGTGGCTGGTGCCTGTGCCAGGCTCTGCTGCTGCTGAGCCCATGGGCGAGGCTCCAGGAGAACTGGGGTGGTGAGCACGTGGGCCCACCCCAGCCTGTCCTGGTCCCCACAGGTCTGAGGGGAAGCAGGCCGGTCGCCGGGGCCGGAGTACATCCCTGAAGGAGCGGCAGCCGGCAAGGCCACAGAATGAGCGAGCCAACAGCCTGGACAACGAGCGCTGCCCAGACACGCGGAGCCAGCTGCAGGTGGGCAGGGTGCCCCCGAGGGCGGGTTGGCCTGTGAGCTCAGCACCACGGTCTGTGCCGCTCCTGTGCCTGTCTGGCCCCGCAGCCCGGCCGCCTGGGCTCCGGCGCCCTGTGCGCCTTTAGCCTGGGGGCCTCTGTCCAGAGTTGAGCACTGCTCACTTGGGGCGGCTGCTGGGGGGTCATGGTGCAGGGTTGCAGCACCCCTCCCACCTGGTGTGGACGGGCCTGTGTCTCCAGATCCCCAGGAAGACCGTGTATGACCAGCTAAACCACATCCTCATCTCCGACGACCAGCTGCCCGAGAACATCATCCTCGTCAACACCGCTGACTGGCAGGGGCAGGTGGGGGCCGGTGTCCTCCCTGCAGGGTGGGGGTAGGGGGTTGGCCCGAGGCCCACCATAGCCCTTGTCCCCAGTTCCTGTCGGACGTCCTGCAGCGGCACACATTGCCCGTGGTGTGCACCTGCTCCGCGGCCGACGTCCAGGCGGCCTTCAGCACCATCGTCTCACGGATACAGAGATAGTGAGTCCGCCGTGCGCATTGCTGCCGCTGTTGGGATCCACACACCCAGACTTGCCTATGGCTGCATCCAGAGGGCTGCGGGTGGATCCGGGTGGGGGGTCGCCTGGTGGAGAATGAGCCTCTGTGGGGCCTTTTGGGGGCCTGGGGTTCGGCAGGGATGACTCTCCCCATGAGAATGGGTCCTGAGGCATCTGTCCTCCTCCTGCCCGTGACCCAGCTGCAACTGCAACTCCCAGCCGCCGGCACCGGTGAAGATCGCGGTGGCCGGGGCGCAGCACTACCTCAGCGCCGTGCTGCGGCTCTTCGTGGAGCAGCTGTCCCACAAGACACCCGACTGGCTGGGCTACATGCGCTTCCTGGTCATCCCTCTGGGTGAGCGCCGCGGCCGCCCCTGGCATGCCGACTCTGCTGGATTTCATTTCTGTTGTCAGGAAGGCAGCTCAGGGTCCATCATCAGCCCTTTAAATCTCAAGCCCGTGTCACTGAGCCCTGCCCATTGTCTTGGTTAAGCCACTCACTTGACTGCAGACACCTGACCGGGCCAGCCACTGGGAAATGAAGAGCCCTCAGGGAGGCAGACCCTCCCCAGCTGCCCAGCCCAGCCAGGCAGGTGCAGAGCTGTGGGCGGGTCAGACGCCCTGATGCCATCCTGCCTGCAGGTTCCCACCCCGTGGCCAGGTACCTGGGCTCCGTGGATTACCGCTACAACAACTTCTTCCAGGACCTGGCCTGGCGGGACCTGTTCAACAAGCTGGAGGCCCAAAGCGCCGGTGAGGCCAGGGCATCCACGCACCACCACTCATTAAGAAGAAGGGTCTGTCTGCTCCCGAGACAAGACCACCATGCCCCACCTCTTCTCAGACCCTGGCCACACCTGAGCACCTGGGCGGGGAGGGTGTCAGCAGACAGGGCCCTGGCCCGGACACTTTCCTCGGCCCGCTGTGAGCCCCGAGCTTGATGACTGGGACCCCAGGGGTTGGCTCAGTGAGAATGGAGGGCCGCCGCTGGGCTCCAGGGATGGGTAGCCTTGGGAAGGGGACATTGAGGGGCCCAGCGTGGTGCCTCACAATCCCTTACGACCCCTCATGCAGTGCAGGACACGCTGGATGTCGTGTCGAGAGTCACACAGTACATCGCGGGGGCCAACTGTGCCCACCAGCTGCCTATTGCGGAGGCCATGCTCACCTACAAGCAGAAGAGGTACCTGGAGGGCCCTGGCCTGGGCGAGTGAGGGCAGGCGAGTGGGCACCCAACCCCGTGCCACAGACCCAACTCTTTGGGCGATGTGTTGGGGCTCCCAGTGATTGCCCTTGGGAACAAACCTGGTGGCCGTGGGGTGGACCGGAGCTGGGCTGGGGTGAGGCCGTGTCCTGTCTTCCTTGACAAAAGGACCCTTCACTAACCCCAAAGAGGAGCTAGAATAAGCCGGTCATGTTTCTAGTTCCATATGTGTCGTGACTTCTCATAGTAAAAGTCAAAAGAGAACTGTCCCAGCCCCCAGCAGTGACCTGCTCTTTCGAACCCAGACCCGCTCCAGCAGCCAGGCATCCCGGGCCGGAGACACGTTCTCTCTCTGCCCAGAGCAGGACAGCGGGCAGAGCTGCCGTGAGGCAGAGGCCAGGCCTCGGACACGGCAGGTCCACTGGGGAGTCCCTGGGGGCTCAGGGTTCATAGGGGAGGTGAGCAAGACACACCGGTTCTGAGCCAGTCGAAGTGAAGCACATGTGCGAGGGCGGAGCCGGCCTCCCTGCGGCAGGAGGTGGCGGGTGTAGTGGAAGTGTGCTCGGGTGGAGGCCTGTCCAGCTCTGGGCTCCGGCCCTCCTCTCTCGAGCGGCCTGCCCTCCCTGCTCGGGAACCTCTCTCTGCCGGCTGAGCTGGGGGCTCATGAGCGTGAAGTAACCTGTTCGTGTTTTCTTTCTTGGTGGCTTTCTGAAAGGAAAAAGAACTTCCATTTTGACTTTACCCTCAGGTACCACTGTCTCTGGTCTGTACCCCTTTGTCCCCAGGCTGGTCTTTAGGGCTGTTTAGCAGTGTCAGTAAGTGGGAGTGCGTCCCCAAGGGCCAGCACACCAGGTTTGCTTGCCCCTCCTGCCCACTTCCTGCCAGGGCCTGCGGAGCAGACCTGACCCTTTGCAGCAGCCCCCCCCCCCCCCCACCGCCCCGTCTGCGGCCCACCTAGCCTGCAGCCTGCGACCTGGCTGGGCTCTTCTGTTTCCCTGCCCAGAGGTTTGGTTTAAGACATGGCCCAGTTCGGCCTCTCAGTGCACAGATATGTTTCTGAAGCCATGTCCGCTGCTGCTGCTTAACGTAGAAGCAGGTGCCTGGACCCCAGCTTGAGCCACTGACCACTGACCTTGGACGCCACTGGCCAAGAGCGGGCCTGACTCACAGCGCTGAGGGGTCGTGAGCCCAGCTCCATGCTGACGGGCCTGGGAGGACAGGACTGGTGCTGACCGTGCCCAGGGGCCACGAGGATGGGGCCTTGCCCGGGCAGCACAGCAGTCAGCGCCCCTAAGTGAAGGGTTTGCCGTCCAAGTTTTGTGGTCAGGCTGCTGGGGCCCCTACCTCAGGTCAAGGGCTCTTCACCCCCAAGGTGGCTCCACCCTCTGAAAACCTATCTGTTGAGAGTCGAACCCTGGGCATCCACAGAGCTGCCTTCTCCTCAGCCCCTCTCGTCCCTCCCTTGGGGCACCCTCTGCCCCTGGTCCTGGTTATGTGCTCTCCTGGCAAAGCCCCCAGGGCAGGGTCGTTGAGTCCTGGCTGGCCTCCAGGAGGAGGGTCTCAGGGCCCCCACGACTGTCCTGCTAAACAAGCCTGAGGGGCTCGAGAAAGACCAGCTGTGGTGCCCCCTGACCCCCCCCCCGCCCCCGTTCTGTGACCGTTGCTGCTGCTCCCGTTCACCGTGGCGCAAGGACCCTGCAGCATGCCCCGCTGCCTGTGCCAGCTTCTCCTCTCTCCGTCTGCTGGTCTGAGCAGCACACCAGGGCTTTGGGGACCCTGGCCCTGCCCGCCGTGCCTGCCACCGTGCCTTCGCATTACAGGAGCGACGCTGGTGCCCAGGGTGGGTGGGGGCTCCGAAGGCCCTGGAGGGAGTCCATGGGGGCCCTGCATGTTGGCCACCCTCAGCCCAGAGCTTGGTGGTCAGTGGCCAGCCTCTGCCTACTGGGACAGAGAACACCCTCCTGTCCACCTAGGAGACCCAGGACAGGGTGGGCAGTGGGCATAGTCTGCCTGCCCACTTCCTGGCCCCTCTCTGGCCTGAGCCCTTAAGAGCTTTGCAGGGAGGTCCTGCCTGACCACTGGTTCCTGGGCCAAGGTCAGCACACCAACTGTGTGCAGCCCGGCAGCTTCATGTGAGGGCTGCTCAGTGCCCCGTCCTGGCCCAGCCCCACGCCCGAAGCCAGAGGTGTGGCTACCCCCAAGGACACATGTTTCCCTCTGTTCTGGGGTTCGGGTTGAGGAGTTTCAGTGGCAAGTCTGTGTCACCCCTGTCATGCCGGGCCCGTGTCATGGGCTGTATGTTGTCTGCATGTCCCTAAGGCACAGCTTGGCTTTGAGAGTTCCAGCAACACCCCTGTGCTGTGGCATTTCCCGAGTCTTAGCCCCTCGAGGCCCTCGTCTGCCTCCCTGCGAGCCACCTGTGGGGAGGGCTGAGGGGACCGGACGCTGGCCTGCTGGAGGCAGGTGTCCCTGTGGGCCAGGAGCCCTGGGTCCGGCCTATGTCACTGTGCGTGCAGATGCAGGCCAGCACAGGACTCAGGCAGCTTTGCTGTGTGCAATGCAGAAAAGGGACGTCTCCTCTTTCAGCTGTGCCCCTCCCTCAGAGAGCAGGAGAGGGCTGGGACTCTGGTCATTTTCAATGGGACAGACCGAATCTGTGGGTTCTGTCATCCAGACACGTTCTCCCGGTGTTCTGTGGAGGTGAGGTGGGGACCGTGGGTCCTAGTGTCCAGGTGACGCCCAGGAAGGGGGGCTGCTATCCCTTCACATAGCGCCTCCTGCAGGACGGGCCTCGGGTGGCTGCACCACTGTGTCCTGTGCTGCCTCTGGGCCTGACCTACTGGTCCAGCTGGTGACATTCTTTCCCTTTTTTCTCTTTATTGCTTTTAGAGAGAGAGGAAGGGAGGGGGGAGAGAGAGAAACATCGATGAGAGGGAACATCGATTGGCCGCCTCCTGCATGTGCCCTGACCAGGAATTGAATGGCGACCTCTTGGTGCAGGGTCAGCACTCACCCACTGAGCCACACCGGCCAGGCTCAGCTTGTGGCTCACTTCATAGGGAGCCGTGGCCGGGTGCTGCGAGGCTCCTGGAAGCTGGTGCTCTGGGGGGACAGCTGGCCCTACACGTGGTGACCCCCCTGGCCAGGCGGGGGCACGGCAGCCGTTTGCCTGCAGGGAGCCTCGCCGACAGGCTCTGGTTGGGGAGGAAACGGGATCAGAGCTGGGATAGTGCCCCGACTGCCAGGCCCCGGCCAGAGGACGCACCAGCCACGGAGGAGGGCAGGGAGACACTGAAGGTCTGGGCTGACCCTGCCCTGTGCACCTCCCCAAAGGCCAGAAAGGAGGCACTTGTCCTGCCGCCCGCGGGTCCTCACACCTGACTCCTGAGAGCCCCTGGGCCACAGCCCCAGGCGAGGTGAAGACCAGTCAGGCTGCTGAGAGGAGCCCAAGGACCAGCTCTGTCCACGCCCCACGACGGCCTCTCTGGACCTGGGTGGGGCCTCAGTTCCAGGGAGGCCATGGTCCTGCCAGAACTGGTGCAGAGCCGGGTGCAGGTGGACCTCCACCGCCTGACTCGACAGCAGCGGCCCAGAGTCTGGTCAGGCCTGCAGGCTGCTCTGGGGGCAGCACTGTCAGAGCAGGGTGTGTGCACCCACCTCAAGGCCGAGAAGGCCTGGGGCAGTCTTCTGCCCCAGCCTCACCTCTGGATGGCACCACCTTCACCCAGACCACCTGGGGAAATCGCCACACCCTGACTTGAGGAGAGTCACCTCAATCACTAGAGGAGGCCCAGACTGCTCCCTGGGGGTCCCAGGGCACAGCAAAGCCCTCCCTCAGGGCTGGCCGCCTGCCCTGTGCACAGGGACGGTCCCGGCAGGGTGTAAGCGGGTCCTCCTCGGGCCGGGCTCCCCTTGCTCCGGGAGCTGCCCTGCGGCCTGGGCACAGAAAGCTGTGCCTGCCTTCAGGGCAGGGCGGTGGGCTGGGTGGAGGGGTGCGCCTGCCCTGACCACAGCGTGACTGTCTTCTTGATTTTAGCCCCGACGAGGAATCCTCACAGAAGTTCATTCCCTTCGTGGGGGTGAGTAGCTCGTGGGTGGACAGCGGCTTTGCCCAAAGCATTCCTGTGTTCTGCTGGCCCTGCCTGCTTGGGGAGTGAAACCTGCCAACAGGTCGAGTTGTACCTGTCTGATTTTGCATTAAGTTGATTTTTCCAGAACCTTCTTCAGCAATCTGAGCTGAGGACTGCCTTTGAATCCCTCCCGTCTTAAAGCTGCTCACGTTCTCGTGTCTGTCGGGGGGTGAGGAGGCCTGTCTCAGCACCGTCCTGGTGCCGAGGAGTCAGGCTGGCTCTCCGGGCAGGCGCCCAAGCCACAGGCTCCGCTCGGTCCCACCGGGTGGCGGGGTGTGGCCTGTGAGCCCGGAGGGAGGGATGGAGGGCGGCCCTGGGCCAGTCGGCCACTCTCCCTCTTCTGCCCCGAGTTTTCACTGCCTGTTGTCCACTGCGTGGCCTTCCCCCGAGGCATCTGCTCTGAAAGCTGTAGGGCTTCTGTTCCCCTGGTCAGGTGTCCAGGGCAGCTGCCGGCCTTCCGGGGGGTTAATCCAGAGCAGCCTGTCCCGTGGAACCTTCTGTGGCAGAGGTTCTCAACCTGTGGGTCGTGACTCCTTTGGGGGTCAAACGACCCTTTCACAGGGGCTGCCTAAGACATAATAGTAGCAAAATTACAGTTATGAAGTAACAACAAAAATAATTTTATGGATGGGGGTCACCACAACATGAGGAGCTGTATCAAAGGGTCGCGGCTTAGGAAGGTTGAGAACCACTGCTGTGGTGATGGGTGGGCCCTGCACTGCCACAAGTCCCTCAGATATTTGAAATGCCACCATGGGACCGGGTGTGACTGGTCACAGTGGCTCCCCTTGAACGTGTGTAGTCAGTCCCCACACAGTCCACACCAGTATTGGGGGAGGCCCGTCAGCCCACATAGGGTTTGAAGCAGCACCTTGCTGAGCCTGGTGCAGGCCCAGGGTCTCTGTCCCCGAGCTGGGCAGGGCTCCCTCACGCCAGGGTCCTGATCGCATTGGCATCTGGGCCTGGCCACTCACAGGTTCAGGGTTTGCTAAGGGCTGGCTGGAGTGGGGACGGCCGAGGCCCGGGCATGGGGAAGGGCTGCCGTCCCGCCAGAGGCCGTGTGTCCTGAGCACTGGCCCCAGCTCCTGAAGTGCAGGGTGGCCATGCAGCGCGCTGCTCTCAGGGAGTCTCCCAAGACGCCTTCTGTGGGGGGGGTCCCTCGCCACATCTGTGCCATGCTGACAGCTGGGGAGTGCAGCCTGAGCTGGGCTGTGCCCCTGGACAGGAGGGGCGGGGCCGTGGGCCAGGACACAGCCCCAGAGCCCCCATGCTGCTGCCAGCTGGTGCCTGTTGTTTTCCAGGTGGTGAAGGTTGGGATAGTGGAGCCGTCCTCGGCCACATCAGGTAACCCACCCTCTCCAGCACCAGCCTCCTCAAGGCCTGAGGGCAGAGCCAGGTCTGGGGGCCCAGGGCACAGAATGCCACTGCGGTGGGTGTGCTCACCTCAGGCAGCTGCTCCACCCAGCAGGCCAGGAGGCCGGCAGCTCCTCCCACATGCTCTCCCAGCCCCCGGCTGCCTGAGCTCCTGGCCCAATCCTGGTCCAGGTACCTGGGCTGCTCTGGGAACTCAGTGCTGTCCTCCTCCTTCCCAAAGGAGACTCGGACGATGCGGCCCCCTCGGGCTCCAGCGTGCTTTCGTCCACCCCGCCGTCCACGTCTCCAGCCACCAAGGAAGCCTCTCCCACCCCACCCTCCTCCCCGTCAGTGAGTGGGGGCCTGTCCTCCCCCAGGTAACGGCAGCCACATTCCACCCCCAGTCCCTAGATGTGCGGTCCACCTGACTCCCGTCCACCCCTTGTCAGTACACCCAACGCAGCGGGGCTCAGGTTAGAGAATACTGGCAGAGTTCATGATCCCTGGCCGCCCCGGGTGTCAGGAAGCTGAGGGTCTGGTGGGAGTGGACTCAGAATGGTGGACATGGGCTGTGGGCTGGCTTGGACAGGATGCCATGTGGGTGGGCTCGGTCCTGAGCTTCTCAGAGTGACATCGTCACTAGGGACAGAACCCGAGTGGGTACACACAGGATGCCCTGTCCAGACAGGTTCTGGGAACACGACGTGGGTAGGTGTCAGAGATAGCAGGCAGGGGTCAGCAGCCTGTTGCTGCTCTCGGGTCTCTTGTGAGCACAACTTGCAGTAGAGCTTGTGTGTGTTCTGGGGAATCCTCTCACCGTGGGCCACAAGGCCACAGGGCTGCCGGGCTCTACGGGGCCACACCTGTGACGAGGCTGGTTGACTTTGGCCCTCCAGACTCAAGGGGCACCTTGGGACAGCCTAGCATTTTGACTGCCAGAGCTCCAGGCAGCCACTGGCACCCGCCGAGGACAGACGGTGAGCCTCCCTCTGCTTCTCCAGCCAGGGCGTCGGCGCTGAGCTGATGGGGCTGCAGGTGGATTACTGGACGGCAGCCCAGCCCGCAGACAGGAAGAGAGATGCGGAGAAGAAAGACCTGCCTACCACCAAAAACACGCTCAAGTGCACCTTCCGGTCTCTCCAGGTCAGCAGGCTGCCCAGCAGTGGCGAGGCCGCAGCCACACCCACCATGTCCATGACCGTGGTCACCAAGGAGAAGAACAAGAAGGGTGAGTGTGCGTGACGGGCTGTCATAGGCGAGGGCCGCCACATGGGCCCTTCCCGTGTGCTGCCAGGTGAGCATGGGTCCCAGAGCCTCCACTCCCCAGGCCCTGAAGAAGCAACAGGACAGCACGGTCCCTTTTCCTTCCAGTGATGTTTTTGCCCAAGAAAACCAAGGACAAAGAGGTGGAGTCCAAAAGCCAGTGCATCGAGGGCATCAGCCGCCTGATCTGCACGGCCAAGCACCAGCAGAACATGCTGCGGGGTGAGCGTGGGCCCTGGTGTCCTTCCCTCAGGGGTCTGGGCAGCCGCCAGAAACACGCAGGCGGACCACGGGGAAGGCAGGTGGCTCTGCCGGCTCGGAAAACACCTGTTTCGCTGGGAAACGCTTATCGTGCAAGCCGGGCTCTGAACGTTTCTGTGAGGCGCCCGTGTGCGTGGGGCCGCTTCCCACTTCCCCGCCCTCCGCTCTTCTGAACGATGGCTTCGTGTCTCAGCGGTGGAAGTCATTCCACATGGAGGCTCAGACGCACAGTGGGGTTTTCTCCTCACGAGCTCATCTGGTGACCTGGGGCTTGAGGACCCCTGCCTTCCCGCCTTGGTTTTCTGGTTTCAGCAGCCCCCACTGTCAGGGAGAGGTGGCCACAGTGGGTGCCTTGGAGGGCAAGTGTCAGAAAGTCCTGGACAGCAGGTCCTCGTCCCCTGGGAGTCTGGGGTCCCTGCGGGTGTCAGGCCCCTCCAGCTTGTCCTGGGCCCGGGCCTGAGCAGGGATTGGTGTGCTCTCCTGGCCAGTGAGCAGGCGGTCAGGCGGTCTTGTCCCCGCAGTCCTCATCGACGGTGTGGAGTGGAACGACGTGAAGTTCTTCCAGCTGGCAGCCCAGTGGTCCTCCCACGTCAAGCACTTCCCCATCTGCATCTTCGGACACTCCAAGTCCACCTTCTAGCCCTGCCCGTCGCCCTGCCATGACCGAGCCCAGGAAGGCCCAGCTGCTTTTCTGTTAACATTTCAGTTTACTACAGAGACAGACCCTGGAAGCACGGAGAAACCGTCTTAAGTGCGAATGTGCTCACAACCTGGAAACTAACGGGGTGGCCCCCTCTGGGAGCCCCCAATTGCTCTGCTTATTAACCAGAACACTCTGGTGGGTGGGAGGTCAGGTGGGCAATGTTGAGCTGGAGAATCATGGAAGGTGTGTTTCGGCCTCAGGACCCCCAAGACCCCCAGCGAGAAGGGTTCTCACCTTCTCAACCTGCCCTTCCTGGAAGCCAGGACTCTGCTTCCCCGGGAACCAGCTTTGCGTGTGCCCAGACTCAGAGCTGGGGGGCCAGAGGCCAAGGGCTGGCCTCCCTTTGGGGCATCCTGAGCAGAGCACAGAGGCCAGTCAGCCCAGCCCTGGGCCCCAGCTGCCCACCAGCCAAGTGGCCCCAGCACCACCCACTCGTGGTTCCCAATAAACTCCAGCCTCTCAGGGCAGCGGAGGTTTTATAGGAGCAGATATTTTTAATGCTTTTAAATACATGTTACAACGTAGCTGCCAAGCAGAACTCCATTGTTCTCCGGAAGTTCCCTGGGCCAGGGGCTGGGCAAAGCCAGCCAGCACCACCCCCAGCCCAGCCCACACCCGTTCCCTGGGTGGTTCTTAGGTTCTTGAGACACCTCTACGTGTCTGATTTGTCCTGCTCCAGACTTAGCAAGCACAGTGGCCTCCTCCTTGCCCCCCGCCCCCAGCCTGCCTGCTGGCTGTGGGGTGTGTGTCACGGCAGCACTGGCCAGTGGAAGCTCAGGTAGGGTGGCTGGGTGTTGTTGGAGCTGTGTGGACAGCCCAGGACATCACACAGGGGACAGGTGGCCTCCAGGCCAAGCTCCTCAGAGATGGGTTTTGGGTTTGGGTCCCATCCTGGGGCAGTAGTCCCACCCTTCACCTTCCCACGCAGCAGACGGCGGGGGGGCATCATCATAACCTGCAGCCAGGGTCCTCCCCAGTTCTGCTGCGTCCCCCAAACCCCACACCCCAGGTCTCCACAGGAAGAGCCCACCAGCCTCTGCCCGTTGGTAGCTGTGGCCCTAAGACCCTGGCAACCCACCCAAAGGGCTGTGGGCCACATAGGCTGTGCTCGGGAAACAGTGCCAAGGCAGGACCAGCTGGGGCTGTCCCATTCTTCAAGGATGGGACTCACCCTACAGAGGGGTCCCATCCTCGGGGGGCGGGGTGCACGATGAGCCATCTCTCTTTTTTCGGTTAATTCTCACCTGAGAGTATTTCTCCATTGATTATTAGAGAGAGTAGAAGGGAGGGGGGAGAGAGAGAGAAACATTGATGTGAAAGAGACACATTGATTGGTTGCCTCCCATACAACCCTGACTGGGGCCTGGGATCAAACCCGCAATCCAGGTACCTGCTCTTGACCGGGAATCAAACCCAAGACCCATCTTTTTTACCTGTGATCGACCTGCTTACCTCCTTCCCAGGTGGCTGTAGGTGTGAGTGTTCATGGCCAAGGGCTTCAGGGTTAGTCAGCAGACAGCCTTGGACATGACCTTGGGTGCAGCCTGTGTGGGTGGAATGCGGGGTGGAGGGCCCCCTCCCAACGAGAGCACCTCTTTGCTAAAATACACCTCTCCTGACCGTGCCTACACCAGGTGCCTGAGACCGAACCCTGGCTTGGCGCCTTTCCTCTCCCTGGGAAGAACCTGGGATGAGGGTGCAGGCCACTGAGCCAACAACCACTTGGGTGGCCTGTGTGGCACCTGCGTATGGCACACTGCAATGTGAGTGAGCAGAGACCTTGGGCCTCTCACCCTTGTTCCCACCACTGGCCTCAGGCCTTGGTCACTGCTCAAGTTCTCTTGCCAGTGGTCACACCCAACGGAAGCAGGTGTAGGTGAAATGCCCTTGACTTAACTTTCTAGCCTCAGAGATGGGATTGGAGAAAGGGGGCTATCCTGTCCATCTTGGCTGCGGGCAGCCCTTTCCTGGAGTCGTCCTCCCCATGTGCTTCCCCATCCACTTCCAAAGCTGTCCTTGTGCACTCGGGAGGACCCCCTGCATCTCTGCCTTGTGACCAGGATCTGCAGAGCCTGGTAGTTGAGTCCTGTTAGCGAGGGTCCCAGGGCCCACCTGCTAGACCATCCCTGGGCCTGGGAGGTCCTGCAGACGCCTTGGCCACAGTGATTCAGAGACCTGGGCTGTGCCCACCTGCACCTTGATTTCCCCATTGGCTCAACAGAGCTGCTCTGAGGATAGTGTAAAAGCACTTTGTCCCTCAAAGGAAGGGGACGCAGAACCAAAGCCATCTGTGACATGAGCCCAGTGGAGGGCGCTGTGGGTGTGAGGAGTGTGGGCTCGGTACGGAGCCCGCAGGACAGGAGCAGCCCCCCAGAGCAGGGGTTTCCATCTCACTGGATGACCAAGGGCAACTGGGGCTCAAGTTAACCATCAGTCATCATGGGGCGGGACCGGGCTCCTGGGGGTGTGGGCAGGCTCCACCCTCATCCAGGCCAGGTGGGGGCCACACCTTGCTCTGTAGTGCAGCCCCCACCTCCCTCTTCCCTCCTGTGCCTGTCCCCTCAGCCAGTGTCCTGAGTCAAGTGTGCTGGCCACAGCGTGGGGGGAAAGCCACCGGGCCGAGCCGGGGGTCTGTGCAGAGGCCGGTCCGGTGGCACCGGCATCTCCCCTACCTGGCAGTCCTCTGTCCTGCCTCCGTGGGTAGGCAGGGAGCCCACATCCCTGCTGGGGCCCGAGGGCTGACCTCCGGGGCACCCTTGGGTCCGACCCGCAGACCCCACCCGTTTATTGTGCGCTGTTTCCTTTCCAGGTGTCCGTGTTGCTCGTTTTCAATGGAACACAGGGTTGATGTAAATGCTTTGGGGGGACAGATTCTCTGTCACGGGGTGACCACACGGACCCTCCAACGGTGCTGCCGCGACACCAATAAACCTGGGAGCCTCTCCCTGGCGCTCCGGGGCCTGCCTGTGCGTCCTCGGGGGCCGCGGGCCCGGGGGCCAGGAGAGCCCGACGCGAGGCCGCGGGACCGACCCGCGTGGCGGGGGCCGCCAGGGCGCAGGCGCGCCGCCAGCCGGAAGCGGAAACGGCGGAGCGAGGTGTGCGGAGCGGAAGTTCCGCGGCCTCGGCTCGTCCCCCTCAGGCCTTCCAGAACTTCTGTGGGCCCCACCCCGTGTGCCCCGCCCCTCCCCCGCCTCCGTACCCCAGTGTGCCCCTCCCCTGCTTCCGTACCCCCGTGTGCCCCTCCCACCTCCGCACCCCCGTGTGCCCCTCCCACCTCCGCACCCCCGTGTGCCCCTCCCACCTCCGCACCCCCGTGTGCCCCTCCCACCTCCGCACCCCGGTGTGCCCCTCCCACCTCCGTACCCCCGTGTGCCCCTCCCACCTCCGCACCCCCGTGTGCCCCTCCCACTTCCGCACCCCCGTGTGCCCCTCCCACCTCCGCACCCCCGTGTGCCCCTCCCACCTCCGCACCCCCGTGTGCCCCTCCCACCTCCGTACCCCCGTGTGCCCCTCCCACCTCCGCACCCTGGTGTGCCCCTCCCTCTCCGCCCCCCCCCCCGTGTGCCCCGCCCCCCCCCTCCGTACCTGGTGTGTCCCGCCCCGCCTCCGTACACCGTGTACCCCGCCTCCGTACCCCGGTGTGCCCCGCCCCTCCCCGCCTCCGTGTGCCCTGCCCCTCCCCCCGCCTCCATACCCCGTGTGCCCTGCCCCTCCCCCACCTCGTACCCCTGTGTACCCCGCCCCTCCCCTTCTGACCACTAGAACCTTGGGGTGTGGTCCTGCAACGTGGAGGTGAGGTCACAGCGGCCCCAGCAAGGGAGGGAAGTGGGGCAGCTGGTGGTGGTTCTGTGCCTTCACTGTACTGGCCCCCAGGGTTCTGGGGGGCGCCTGGTGCAGGTGAAGGGAGCTTCCTAAAGCAGTCAGGTGGGAAGCCTGGGCTGGGAGAGGGGCTCCCTGGGGGAGCCTGCTGGAGGCAAGCAGGAGCGGTCCTGTGGCTGCTCCAGCCTGGGGGGCCCATGTGGAGAAAGGTGGCCACAGGAGCTGAGGACTCAGGTCACCCGGTGGCATCCACCGTTGGGTCTCATGACCTGAGGCCCACCAGCACTGTCTGGCCAGTGGTGGAAGGGGAGCCTCCAGAGGCCGACACTGCCTCCATCTGCCAGGGGCACAGGGAGCTGTGGGAGCACAGGGGGCTGTGGGGACCTTCCCCCTGAACCCAGAGGTACAGACGAGCAAGCTGCGAGCTGAACATGAACAACGAGGAGCATTTGCTTAAAGTCCCTCCGGGGGAAAAGCCAGGACCACAGCTCTCCCAAGAGCGCAGGCTGCCCCCTCCCTCAACCAGCCAGACTGAAGCCTGGGGCCCGCCAGGTGCCCAGAGCAGTGGTCAGCAGGTACTGGAGACTCAGGACTGGGTAAGCTGAAGGGAGCCTGGCCTTGGCCACCCCAGGGCTCCCCTTCGGGAACCACAGGAATGGGCTCTGGAGGTGGGCTGGTCAAATGCACATGGATGGCCGGGCTGAACGGCGCCTGGGCACAGCAGGTGCTGGGGCAGGGGCACGGAGTATTGGCTCTCTTCCCAGGATCCCTGGGTGGCACCAGGGTGGGCTTACAGTCCTCCTGCCTCCCAGAACTGTGGGCTGTCTGCCTGCCTCTGCTGGGCACCTGGAGGGGCCAGGGCACATGAGGCTACGGAGGGCTCTGCTTCTGTCCCCCAGCACCCTTATCCTGGGCCGAGAGGGCAGCACCAAGTGCAGGGAGCCTAGTCAGGGGACACTGCCGTCACAGTGGGGATAGGACAGTGTCCTACCCACCAGGTTGGCAGTCAGCAGAAGGACTTGTCTCAGAAAGTCATTCCTAGAAGCCCTGCTTGTGACAGCCCCAAACTGGAGGCACCTCTCTGTCCTCCCCCAAATAGCTGCTCAGTTCCCACACAGCAGCCGTGAGTGGACAGGGCACAGCTGCTCCAGCCTCAGGGGATGCTTCATGAGCAAAGGAAGCCAGACGCCCAGCAACTCTGAATGGCTCCCCAAGAGTAGGGGTCAAAGCCTGGACAAATGGATTAGGCTGACAAGCCAGGCGCACACAGTGCTGGCCATGCGGCTGCTTCAGGTGCAGGACCCCAAGGAGCTGTATATTCAAACAAGCCTGCTCGTCTATTTGCATGGCTAGAGGCTGACATAAAAAGGTGGTGGCGCCCTGTCTGGTTCTGCTCAGCAGTTAGAGTGTTGGCCTGGGACCGAAGGGTCGTGGGTTTGATTCCCAGTCAAGGCACGTACCTGGGTTGCAGGTTCAACTCTGGCCCTGGTGGGGCAAGTGGGGGAGACAACCAATCTCACATCCTCTCTCTCACATCGATGTTTCTCTCTTTCTTCCTCTCTCCCTTCCACTCTCTCTAAACATCAATGGAAAAAATATCCTTGGGTGAGGATTTAAAAAAAAGAAGGCAGTGGGAAAGAAAGAGCATGCCCCCCAGCTGCGCGCAGAGATCACCATGTGCCCTGCCAGGCAGGTCCCCGCTCATATCCCTGTGAGGCACCTGCCAGGGTGCTGCAGGGACCCCTCGCTGTCTTCTCAGAACTGGTAGTCCAGGATATAAATGCACAAGTGTGTCACCTGTTGGGGGCAGACATGGGGGCTTCCATCTTGGCCAGGTGGTGGGGACCAAGGAGAGCAGTCAGACACATGTTCTCCTGCAGGGATGGAGGAGCCTGGAGGCTCTTGGGCAGGGTGACCCCTCCACACGCACTGTGTTTGCAGTTCCGAGAGATAGGAAGATGGCTGCGGGTACTGAGCCAGTGGGGGACGAGGCCAGGAGGCCAGAGCAGGACAGCAGGACGGAAAGGCCCTGTGGGAGATGGCTCAGAGGAGAGGGGATTGGACAGAGACCCAGAAAGGTGTGCAGACCAATCTCTGCAGGCTCCCAGGATGTGGTTTTGGGGTAGGGAGTCCCTACAGTGTCCCCACACTCTTCACCTCTCTGGTGTCATCCGACCTCTTCCGCTGCGTCCAGCCCTGAGGGACATCAGCTGCTTGCTGTGGCATTGAGGGATGCGCCAGGCTACTCCCTCTCTGACTGTCCTGCATGGCATCCTTCCTTCTTGTCCTGCTCAGCGTGCCATTTCCTCCAGATCTTCCCACAGCTGGCCCCTCGTCAGCATCGTCTCCCAGGAGGTCTCTGTCCTACTAACATAAGTCAGCCCCTCATTCCTTTTGTCCCTGTCCCTTCCCAGCCCAGGTCCCAAGGGAGCCGCCCTCATCTGCAGGGTTCACTGTGGACACCTAGTGCCCGCATGTTGAGGTCATGTGCTTACAGAAGGGCAGCACCTTCCAGCTGAGGCCAAGATCTGAGGAGCCACCCCCTCGGAGGGTTGTCAAACTCCCAGGTCATGCAGAGGTTGGGCACACTGATGCACGTCTGCTTCCTGCTGAGCCTGCTGAAATGATCAGAGGCTCTGAGACAGTAAGAACCCACAGGGCAGAGAACGGCCAACAGCAGGTGGCGACTGCGTTCTGGTGGGGGGTGCAGGCTGGGCGAGTGGGAGGGTTGGCACTCAGCTGTGTGGTGAGGCAGCAGAGACAGGGTGTTGCCCCAGCCACCAAGCCCCAGTCCACCTGCCTTGCTGATCTTAGTCCCCCTTTAAATATGAATGAACAGTTGAATTTGAATAAAACTATTGTGAAGGAGAATTAAACACCCAGGAAAAAATAATCAGAACCATAGCTGTGCCAGGCAGGGCAGAGCCAGCTGAAAATATGTTGCCGTCCCTTGGTAACCTGTGCCCTCTCGTAACAATGGACTTATGCCACTGAACGGGGCTGGGGGGCATGAGAATTGTGGACACGGAGGAGGTGGCAGCATGGCACCCTGGGAGACCTGTGACTCTGCCTGGTCAGAGCAGAACTGGAGTCCACCACAGCACACAGGTCAGGAAGAGGGGACAAGTGGCAGCATGGAAGTCAGTGGCTTTCATGGATCTGAACAGCAGACTTTAGGAGAAAAATGATTGTAAAAGGCACGTTGGATGACAGGAATGAACTTAACAGGAAATAGGCTAACCCATCGAGACAAACTTTAAAACTCCCCAAGGCGTTGCTCAAAGACTTAGTGATGAGAAGGGACACCATGCTCTTGGTAAGGAAGACACAGGAGAGCGTAGAGGGTCCTCTCCAGGCATGTCACAGTTTAGTGTCGTTAATGGTAAAAATGCGAAAACTTTTTTTTTTCAATTTGGCGAACTGCTCAATTGGAAGAATAAGAATAGGTTCAGCCCTAGCAGATATAACATCATATCTCGAAGCTTTGGTTTGGAAAGCGAGGGGGCCCTGGCACATGATGCACAAGCAGCAGAACCGAGTAGAAAATCGAGACATTGACCAAGATGCCTACAGACACATAGTGTGGGATGAAGCTGGCACCTCCATGGGGGGTGGGGCGGGAGACTTCTCAGTAAACTGTATTGGGCTTGTTGTAGCCAAAGCTCTCATTGAATACCAGGATAAACTCCAATTAAATGTTAATGTCATAAAAGTGCTAGAGGAAACCATGGGCGGGAGCATCCTTTCTAGCAAGCCTCACAGTTGAGAAGCCACTAAAGAAAAGATGGAAACACCCACGTGAGGAATAACAACCCACCGAGGGAGCCACAACTCTGTTGGTGAAAGGACAGACTTTCAGCCAGTGATGCTGGGAATACAGGACATCCATAGCAAAAGAGTGAAGTTGGACTCTCACTTAGCACTGCGAATGGAAGTGAACTCAAAAGTTCATTGAAGATATAAAAGAAAGAGCTGGAAGTGTAGAAGTCCTGGAAGAAAACGAGGAAAGCTTCATGATACTGGATTTGGCAGGGATTTCTTGGGTATGGCACCAATCACACAGGCAATAAAAGTAAAAACAGATAAATTTGACTTCATTTAAATTTTAAAATCTTGCTCATCAAAGGACATCATCAACAGAGTGAAAAGTCAACTCATGGGATGGGAGAAAAGATTTGCAAATCACATAATCTTTTAAGGGATTCATATCCAGAATATATGGAGAATTCCTGTAAGTCAACAACAAAAATATAATCTAATTAAATGGTGGGGGAGCTCCGGCCACTTTTGCTCAGTGGTTAGAGCGTTAGCCCAGTCTTAGGTTCTATTCTGGTCGAGGGCATATACCTGGATTGATCCCTGGCCTCAGTTGGGGTCATGTGGAAGGCAACCAATCAATGTGTCTCTCTCACATCCATGTTTCTGTCTCCCTCTCTCCCTTCTACTCTCTCTAAAAATCAATGGAAAAATATCCTCTGATGAGGATTAAAAAAAGAAAGAAAAAAAAATGGGCAAAGGATTTGAATACAAAAGATATATAAATGGTCAAGTATGGGAAAAGATGCTCAAATTCATTAGTCATAGGGCAATGCAAATCAAAACCACAGTGAGATGCCACCTCATACCTGCTAGGATGGCTATAACAATGAAAAACAAAACAAAAGAATAAATGTTGGCAAGGATGTGGAGAAATTGGAACCCTCCTGCGCTGTTGGTAGGAATGTAAAATGGTCCAGTCATTGTGGGAAACAGTATGACAGTTCCCCCAAAAATTCGAAGCATGGAATTACCACCTGATCCAGCAATTCCACTTCTGGGTGTTCACGCGATAGAATGGGAAGCAGAGACACAAGCAGGTATTTGCTCACCTGTGTTCACAGCAGCACTAATCACAACATCCAGAAGGTGGAAGCCACCCAGTGTTCACTGATGTATGATGTCCATCCACACAATGCACAGGTGTTCAGACACCTGCTACAACACAGGTGGGCCTTGAGGGTGTGGCGCTGAGTGAAATAGCCATGAACAGAAGGGCAGACACTAGGAACAACTTATGTGTTGTCTCTAGAGGAGTTGGAGACAGAGCAGGTGGTGGGAGCCTGGGGCTAGAGGGGGAGTGGGTGTTTAATGGGGACAAAGTTTCAGTTTGGGAGGATGAGAAAATCTGGACATAGATGGTGAGGATGCTAACACCACACTGAATGTACATAAGCCTGTGAGCTGCATACGTAGAAATGATTAAAATGGTACATTTTATCACATTGAAAAAACACAAAGGGAATAAAAAAGGAAGGATTTTGATGTCATTTGATGACATGCAGCTACCCATGGGGAATAGGGGAAAGCACATCAACTCCAAGGCCTAGGAGTGGTCCTCTCAGTAAGGAGGGGCTGGCCCTGAGGAATTGATGGGGACCCAGCCCCTAGGCACTTCAGTGAATAGCGGCCTGCATGGAAGCAAGTCACTGGCATGGAGAGGAACTCAGCAGTGTGTTCAGAACAAGTTCTGGAAGAACTGGAGAGAGACTGAGCGAGGCTTCCCGGCCCTGGTGCCACACCAGTGGACTCTGCGGGGCGCCGGCCAATGCACTGGACA